AGAAACAAAGCATTCTACTACTTTCTTTTCTTTGCTTTTGAGTGCTATAGGGGCTGAAGGAACACGCAGGACTAATCCATCAGCAGATAGAAAATCATTGAATAAAAAGGACAGTTTATTCTACTAGGTAATCATTTCTGGGACCCATAGATTCTGAAAACTTTATACATAGTTCGGGGTCTTTCATACGAATGAGTCATCCAAACTCTGGAAAATAAATACAACCGTTTTCATGGGAATAGTTCTGACATTTTAAATGGCGCTTGATGAAACCTGCGGTTAAAGCCCCCTTTGATTAGCTTTTGCTTCCTGTTAATGATGGCACTCTGATAGAAATCGCATACCTGACATCTAAAAGCCCTACTGAAGATGCAGCTAATGTGAAAAAAGCATGTCTTATCCGACATCATCCTTCAGTGTACTCCCTGAGCAAATATAAAGCACCACATTTCCTTTTCAAACCCAAAGGCCACCGCTGGCCGCTCGGTGGGCGCATATATTCATGTGTGCTTGTCCTTGCTTCACAGAGCTTTTGAAGTTTGATGTCACTCCTGCAAGGGAAGCATTACCGGTACATTGGCGGCCTGTGCTTGCTCAACACTGTGGGTCTATCTAATCTCAGCAGCTCTGAAACATCCCCTTCAATTTCTTCTGCTGATAGATGCCGGTGCTCTTTGAGCCCTCTGGGAGCACATTCTCTCCCTCCTGCTTGTCTCTGACTATTGGCTTGCGTAAGACTACTTCAGATTCATCAGGTCAGCCCCCAGTTGTAAACATCTGAGATCTGATTCACACTGATCCAAAGGTCAGCAGAAGGGATGATCATCTGCGTCCAGACACCAGCCTCTCGTCCACCATCGCCCCCTTCTCACGAAGGCCGTCATGTGACCCGAACGGGCATAACCTCTACATGAAAAGTGACTGCCAATTACAGCCACCCACCTCCAGGCCTGCATGATGTTTAAAAAGAGGTGACAACAAACCGCATGTTGTTGGATATAGTTGAAGTAGGTGTTACAGAGGGAAAGTGAAGTGCTCATTGAGAGAGGAGTTTGAAACAGTCATGGTGTCGCTGTTTCTTTGTCCCTCATGAAAGCGAGAAACGAATGCTAATGCTTATAGAAGCTAACGGAAGTCAGTGAACTTTATTGTTCCATTGCGTTTAGCAGATAAAATGATCAGACCATGTTTGAAATGAGTTTCCATTTTAGCGAAAGGTTTTCAGCTGGCTTTGAGCTGCAAAAGGGAAGGATGATTTTCTCCTTTGAGGCAGCCGGGGGGAGATGTGTTTATCAAGATCATACCCTCTCAACACCGCAGTAACTGTGACATTACAACCTTATGGAATGTTATTCATGACAGTAGCTTTTTCTGTCCCACAGTAGCTTTTTTTTACTCGATCACCTCCGTGATCCTCTGGAGACAATTTTTTATTTTTTTAAGCCATTGAACAAGGAGGACAACAGTCATGGAGCTCCACAGGAACAAACAGTGGGAAAGGCAGTCCGTAGGGGAGGAGGGTCAGTGGACAAGAGGGGAGCAGGAGGTGAGAGGGGATATAATAATGACAAACAGACTCCTGACCACAGCGCCTACAGCCTTGTCTCTGGGGAACCTTTCCACCTTGTCATGTCCAAAGACCTTGTGTAATGCTTGACAAAGGGGCAGGAGAAAGTGAGAGGGGAAAAAAATGTGTTTTTGCCTGCGCGCTTGTAATTTGTTGCCCCAATGATTTGCTGAGGCGTACGGGGTAGCACGCAGCTCAGAGCGCAGGCCTGGAACATCGGGGCCGTGCTTCATTAGGCCCTCCCGCCCTTAAGCTGCTGACATTTCCAAACTTGTCCTCCGGTCTTCTAATTGTCATGAAAAATTGGACAGAGCCACCAACACTGAGAAGATACACGCTAGATCTCGATTTGATGGCCTTTCTCATGAGTCTGGGTGTCACAATGTCAGAAACATATAGAACTTTCATATATCCTGGAAACAAGAAGTGATGAAGGAGCTTCAATTGGAATATTCATCCTCTATGATTGATGAAAGAACATAAGTCATCATCTACAAAAAATGAGTCACACTTGACCGATGAGAGACAACAGTGTCAAGACAATGATATCAACACAATTTCAGACTGTGGATTTCATTTGTCAACCATAAAGTTCAATTCAATCTCCCATTTGTGTTTTATTGAAGTTATTGTATAGATGAGAGTTTAAAAAGAAATTGCATAAACTTCCATTTCTGTTGCTCAGGTTTATTTCCTTAATGCCACACAGAACATGACAAACACACTCACAACCAGGAGTGGCGGCATACAGCGTCTGATCATTTAAGGGCCCTCCAATCCATTCTGGTCCAAATAACAAACGTCAGTGCTAAATGTCACCACAAAATGACTACAGAACTAAGCAACGTACATCAGCTTATGTGTGATTGAACATGTCATTTTCGCTGAAAAAAACTGACAAAAGTTTAAAAACATACCGTACTTAAAATACAGAACAAGTCTGAATTCATTCTTACATTTTCTTACTGTTGATTCATGTAAGGAAAAAAGAAAGCGTACAAAATTTATCCCAACTTGTAACACATGTTACCGTTCAATACAGTATTTCATAACAAGGGGAAAAGTTTATTGCCTGGTTAATAAAAGATACATTGTAACTAGAAAACAGCTCACGACTATCCCCTGAGGTCTTTCATAATACAATTAGAAAAAATGCAATTTTCACAAACAGCTTGCATTGGATTAGGACACTAAGAGTTAATAAAACAAAAGGAAAAAAATCTACAATCCACTGTGATTGTGCCGATTCAAAGACGGTCAGCCAGAGTGACTCATAGTACAGACCTGGTGGGGAGGCAGAATCAAACACTCTTCAACAGCTGACCCAGGTTCAGTGTGTGGACAGACACCATCATTCCTTCAAGTAGTCTATGGGCAAATAGACCATATACCGTGGGTTGTGGGGGGGCTGGGGCCTATCACATCTGACAACGGACAAGAGGCGGGGTGCACCCTGGACAGGCTGCCAGTCCATCACAGGGTCACACAGATACAAACAACCACTCACACTCACTCCTAGGGGCAACTTGGAATGCCCAATTAACCAACATGTATGTTTTTAGATGGAGGGAAGAAGCCGGAAAACCCGGAGAGAACCCACGCAGACACAGAGAGAACATGAAAACTCCACACAGAAAGGTCCTGGTCCCACCGGGGACTCGAAGCGGGAACCCTCTGGCTGCCCCCCCCCCCAAACAGACTCAAGGTGCAAACAAGTGAGTTCATTCAAGCTGCCACACATCATAATAGGTAGCTTTTGGACTCCTTAAGAATGATATCCTTTCCATTGTTTTTTGCGAAAACAACGTCCAGCCTCTTTCAATTTCTAGGTTTGACTTATGCTATAAAAGTACAACTTCAAATTAACAAAATATGACCTTATGCTATGGATGCACTGATTGCAAAACTGTAGGCCAACAACAGTGTTAAAGAAGATTACCTAACTGGTAGCAAATAGCTGATTTAAACAGTTTATGTTCCCTTCAGTGTTAGAGAAACAACTTAATATCCATTACAGTCAAAGTCTATGCTTCACAATCTATGACCGCTGCGACCTGTGATTATGTTAGCAGAATACACAACTTCTACTGGTGGTAAAGCAGATAGTATCCATGAAAATGGTGATGGCATTATAAGGACATACATGTTTTCTATTTTAAACTGAAGGAGGAGGTTATTCTGTTAGCCAATAGCTTACTGAAATGAACAAGCAGATCCGCTCCAGCCGGCAGGAATTTATCTGCACATCCTTTGATATTACACAATGTGTGTCTGTTTCCAAACACACCAAACAGTAGAGGTTTTGAGTTTAAAAAAAGAATCTGACTATGGACTTATTACTGCTATAAAATTAAGATGGGGTAACTTGCTCTTGGGAGATGCTCATCAAAAGCACTCAATTCACAGATTTGGCAGTTTGCTGGTTTGGAATATTGAGGTGTCCTGTCTTAACGCAATGCTACAAAGGAAAGGCATCAGCAGTAATGCTTCCAATCAATCTGGAAACCCTTGCAAGGCAACATCCATGATTCCACTGTGACAAAGCTTGTTCACAAACATTCCAAAAGACTCAAGAAATACGAGTAGCTGGGTTGTCAGTAGTAAGTTTCATCTCTCAGCACCACACTTGCTAAAAACCACATCATACCAATGTTTAGGCACAGTGGTGGAGGACTGATGATTTGGGCTAATTTTGCAGCCACATTACCTACAATTCGAAAGTATTCTACAGTCAAAGAGGAGGCATCTGTCTGACATCTAAAGCATCAGTCAAAGTAGGTTGAGGAACCAGAAAATTATCCTAAACCACGTTTTGCTACTAAAGGTAGTCCCGAATCATGAGGCACAATTAGATTTTTACCCTTCTATTTTTTTGTAATGAGTAACGTGCTATTATTTATCTAAGGATCCATGTTAACTCCTGGTGAGGATCCAACTTTTTTTTACATTATAAATCAGTACGTACATCTTAACTTTTAAAGAGTTTTGCTTTTCTAAACTGTAAACAGACACAGAAAGGTATCCCCCCCCCCGTTTTTTTCTTCAAAAATCTTTCCTAAAATAACAACAACAAAAAAGAAAATAGAGTAATAAAGTTGTAGCGTGACAGTATTTGACACAGCCATCATGGCTCCAAAGATTCTAATATTTTTCCTCTACTTTGGTGGAAACTTGAATGGCTCAACAGCAGGATTGATGGACAGACCGATGGAAGGGTGGATGGAGTGATTTAAAGACAAATCCGTCTAACTGTGGTGGTCCACTGACTTTACTACATTTCAACATAACCGCTGAATTAAAGTTATATTAAGTTTGACAGAAAACAACTTAACATAAAATCCAACCTATACCCCACCTTGACATTCCAGCTAAAAACGGACACATTCATTTTTTGAATGATGAGGTAAAGGGATGTGTGGGTAACCTGAAACATCTAATCAGCTCCATCTGCATTGTCCAACCCTGTCTCCAGCTGGGCCTCGTTCATCTCCGTCTTCTCCGGCCCGCTCATTTCCATCTGGGCCTCTGGGCTGCTGGCCTGCTCCGGGCTCTCCGGGCTCCCCGGGCTCCCCGGGCTCTCCTGCTTCTGCTCTCTGATATTTGCCGCCTTCTCTTTCTCCAGCATGTGGTAGTTGTAGACATTCATGACGAAGAGAAAGAGCCCGCCCGCCACTATCACACCGCCACACATGAAGAAAAGGTACTTGTAGTCGCCGAAGACATCCACCAGTAACCCTAGGAACAAAAGGATGCAGAGGAATCAGGCAAAGCAGGACAGTTTGAGATTTTGCAGTTTAATCACTTCTGAAGGTGAAAAGCAGCACGGATTTGGATTTCCGCTTTCTGTATGTGCGTTGGGAGTAAGCACAGGCCAATTTGACAAGAGCCACTTTTGAACTGACCGAGGGCCATTACACCCTTCCAGGCTCTCCTGTGTCTCTGGGAAGGCAATTTGGAGGGCTGCAACCAAAACGAATCAAAGGAGAGGCCCGTTCTTCGAGCCATAAATATCAAGCCCAAGCCGGCAGAGAAGTGACAAATATGGTTTGGATCAGATTCGAGCCTCCAGGTTTTCAGCGTCTTAAGTGCACCTCACGCAGCCCCCTCCCCCCCCACACACACACACACAGATTGATGTGCGAGTATCAATATCTCACTCAGTGTCAGCGTGTGTTACCATCTATCTCACTGCATCACACCCCCACCTTTAAATCATTTTAGAGCTGAATGCTGCTCTCTCTCCCTCTATTGTTTTCATCAGCCATTTCAACAAACGATGCCAAAAACGCAGCATCTTACTCATAAAGCAGAATGGGTGGTTTTTCTGGAGCTTAGACATAAGTGGGTCTTTGGTGGGCACCCCTTTCCGTTCTCACAACAAATTTGGTCGCCCGTTATGTCCACGTGTGCAAACACCATGAGGGGTCACTTTGTGTTTGGATAAGAACTTCCAACAGTCTCTGTGCGAGCTGTGTTATCTGATTGATAGCGCTCATCTGGTGCCTATACTCAAATGACCATCATCCTCATTAGGAGAGCCCTTGATTGGCTGAGCAGTAATTATGTCCATCTGGCATAGTCACCTCTTTTTGAATGTATTCGCAGCTTAATTATGGCCCAGGTACAGGACTTTAATGGCGACAGTTTGAACTGAGCGTCATTAAAACACCCAAAGCAAAGGGGCTAATTACACCCACTTACCTTACTTCCTCCTAATTGGCTTGACCCCAAGGTTTGAAGGAGCAGTAACAAGCAGATATGAGGAGACATAAAGATTGTGCCCTCTGGAGGAAAATATTTGACGTGCAGGGAGGCACTTATTTACCCCCATTAAAATAGCCCCTCAGAACAGTGTTGCTCCAGACAAATGGGGGAGGGGGCTTTGACTTTTCACCTCATTAAAAGTCAGTTTGAAAGCGAGGGAAAAGTTTGTCGGGAGGGGGATGTGATGCAGAGCTGATTTTGTTATGTACGGTTGCTCTGCTGCTCATTCTCAGCTTATTTGTTTTTGAACGCTGAACACGGTCAAAATGAATATTCAGACTAAATAAGAGTGCTGAGCCATAATACACTCTGGTCACTTAATTTGCTTCTTTATTTAAGTGACTGGTTTTTCAAGAGAAACTTGTTATGGCTGAGGAAGCCATGGTGTGCTCTTCACCTGATTCACACTACATAGATTCTGGCTCGCTGCACTCACTATTCTGTGAGCTGTGCAATGAGCCTGGGAGTGGCCATGATCACTGCCTGCCACAGTTGGAGGTAAATCAGCCAGCGGACAACTTAATATTCTAAATCAGAGTCTTATCTGCTGTAGACGGTGAAGAGAGCGCTCTCAGTTTAGAAAATAAGGCAGGAAGGCTCAAAGGTGACGTAAGCTTTTAGTTTCTGATATCTTTTGCGGTCCAAAAATGAATTTGAACCTCACAAGATTCACAGCTGTTTAACAAAAAATGGTGAATTGTCAACCACATCAGTGAGGGCCGCTCTAAAACTGCACGTAAAAAGCCAAATAATCTTCACCTGACAAGCTGATGGTCACTTGGAAGAATGTCTGCTTTCTGCTAACCACCACGGTTTGAAACGCAAGTGGCCAATTTATTTAAATGTGTCTGGCTTGCACTGCTCAAACAATAAACAAATTAAACACGGAGAGCTTTGCCTGTCGACATTTGTTGCCCTTGCCAACAGGCAAGTTGATGGATTTTCAGTTTATGAATTCCTGGATAAGCCTGCTGATAGCTGTGCTTTAGGATCGCATGGAAAAAATTATCATAATGATCCCCAGTGGTAATATCATCATGCCGGCTCCAAATTCTAATTTTAAATGTTTCTTCAGACATAACCCTCCTGGACTGATTCTTTTAGTTTCTTGGCACATTTAGAATGTTTCCCATTCTGTCCTGGGGACCACAGCAGCCTAATTTTAAGCTTGGTGACAGGTGTGAAACAGAAGGAACAATGATTAAATGAGAGATCCATTTGACAGGATAGTAAAACTGACCAATCAAAGTTCCACCAGCTGTAGAGCTACCCCGAAGCTAATCGGTGCAAGTTTTTAATGGAGAACTGCTTTGGGCAACAGAAAAATGAGCTATCTCGCCTATCACTTAATATTTTAGCCAGCAGAGATCTTGAAGAGGATATTTTTGTCAATTTATTAGCCATGCTATACCCAAGTTTCTCCTGTAAGGCAGAACTGTAGTTATTAAGAAATATTTTAAGGCCTTTATGAAGCACATGAAACACTGGATTTCAACTGAAGTACACTTTACAAATGGAATTGTAAGCCATTTGGAGATTTTGTTATTTTATTATAAACAAGCTTTAAACAAGTTTAATATATTATTTCATCATTTTTTTAATTAGAGATGTAAACCTTTAAATAATTTTTTACTTTAAAAACTCTAAGAAGTGATGGTTTGGAGCAGATGTTTAATTCCAATTGCAAAAGCGACTTTTACTCTGTGTAAGACTTATTTGCTTTTATTAAATAAAAATAGTCAAATTGAAGTCAAAATTCAATAAAACAACTTGTAGATCATAAGACATGTAACTATCTAAAGTCGGCATAGTAATTTTTGATTCTGCTGTTCCAAACTAGCATCAGCTTTAAAGTAAAACATCTCAGAACTCCTTTGTAGTTGCATTGTGAGTACAGTCTCATATTGTTATAACTTAAGAGTGAAACTGAGATGGTTTTGCAGTCCTCAGCTGATAACCCCACTCTGCTGGTAACAACTGAGCACCTGAGTCTGGGTACAGCTTGTGTGATGGTGCGGTTATTGATTTGCGTTTTCCCCCTAAACCTCAGCTATTTCTTGTTTTGGCAGTGGCCTATACTATTTCCAAACTGCCCTGCCGAAAAGTCGTGTAGACTTTCATTTTGAGGCTGGAGCGGATCATTCTTGCTGCTTGAAAACCACCAAGGAACAGCAGCAAAAAAAAGAAAATCATACATAGACTGTCCGAGGATTTAGAGCCACCGCCTGACACGTCGCAACTCCAGCAACGTCACAGCTACAGGTTGCTCTTTTAAGTTAGCAATTTCCCTTTAGGAAGTCCTATTTCACCCAAAATCAATGCAAGATCACAAATCAAAGGCTAATTATTTTGCATCTATTTTGAAAGCACTAAAATGTCAATCACACTCATACACCTTCTAAACTGCTGCTGGTCATTGTGGGTACATATTTAGTTGGTCTCACATTTGCTGGTCTGAGTTAAAAAACATTTGGTGTGTATTTAGGCCGAGTAAAGAGTGAGATGTGTGTGCCGGTACTGTCTGTGAATGGATGGTGCGCGTCGGGGGCACGTTACCTGCAGCCGGCGGTCCCAGCAGCATGGGGAAGCACTCTATGATGGTGACCAGTCCAACAGCACTGGGGAAGCGCTGATTCCCCATCAGGTCCATGAGGCATTCGAAAATAAGGGCGAAGACCATGCCAAAGCCCACTCCAAAAAACACCGCATAGACCACCAGCAAGGGGTAGCTCTTCATCAGTGGGCACACTAAATGGCACACCCCGTTGAAAACCATGGCAAAGCTGAAGAAGTACTGGATTCTTGGCCTTATCCACTTGCTGTTGGCTATCAAACCGGTGCCTGGACGAACAAACATGTCAACAAAGCCCATGATAGAGAGCAGGTAGGCTGCGGAGTACTCCTCCACACCTTGGCTAATTGCATAGGCCGACAGGAACACAATGGGAGCATAGGCACCAAAAATATACATCACATTCCCTATGAGGTAAATGATAAAGCCCCTGTCCTTGAAGAAGGACAAGTCCACAAACTTCTTTGCCCTCTTCAGACAGCTTGCCTTTATTTTAGTGTTGCCCTCAGCTGGCTGTTCCACTTTTAGTTGAGCTTGACATGAGGATGGTTTATGAGGGGGGGTGACAGGTCTCATCAAGGCCCCTGCCACGCAGCAATTGAGCATCATACCACCAAGGATAAGCAGACTTCCTCTCCAGCCAAAATGGCCCAGGAGGTATTGGTTGACAGGGGCCAGGAAGCAGAGGAACACCGGACTCCCAGCCATGGCGAGTCCGTTGGCCAATGGTCGCCTAGCAAGGAAGTATTTACTGATGATGGTGAGAGAGGCATTCAGGTTTAAGGAGAGCCCACAACCTGTGTGTAGAAAGATAGGAGAAAAAAAAAGAAAAGAAAAGCCAGTCATTTCCTGAAAATACCCATATAGAAAACTTGACTGGATCTAAGCTATAAAGGGTGCTGACTAAATTAAATTAAGACTGATCTGCTCGGTGCTCAATTGGGCTCCATCTAATTCCACTTTTGCCAGGTAAAATCTCATTAAAGAATGTTGGAATTATTTCAGAAATAATTTCTTCATTCAAGTAGAAATAAATTAGAGAGCCTGGGTAATACATCCACCCCTCGCCTTTCTACCCAGAACATATTAATTTAATAGAACTTTAATTTGAGGAAGATGAAGAGCTACAGCTACTGTAGATTGTTATGGTGCTAAATTTTCTCTTTCCAATGTCAATCTACTCAAACAGTACAGTACAGTTTAAGAGAGAAAAAGCTACACAAGGTGCTTTACAATTAAACTAATATTCATGACCAAATAATCTTGATTTTCCAATAACAACAAAATGTCTTTGTTGGACATCTTATCCAACACTTCACATCTAGGCTAAAGAAAACATTTCACTTGTCTTTAAAGCTGGGAAAATAATTGAAACCTTTTGGAATGACTCTTTGTACAAGAGTCAATCATTCTGTCTGTTCTGCTGTTTATGGGATTTTTTTTGGCCTGCTTTCAAGATGCCTTTGTTCTAGGCCAGCAGGGCCACACATTTTCACCCATCACTTTTGTTTGAGTTGGGAGAGGGGAACATTTAAGTAAAAGCAGAATAAGAATGTAATGCCTTTCTTTTTTTTAAGCTCCTTTTCTATCAAACGATTATCCTTTTCTGTGCAGGTAGAAGCGTCTGTGCTCGCATTTGCATGCCTGGTGGCTAAAAGTGCTTGATGCCTTTGTGTCAGTGTGCCAGGACACAGGGGAGCAAAGCACAGCCAACCACTTGCTGGGCCTATTAATCCTCCACAGGAGCCTTTGGCAGGGTAATGAGCCTCATAGGGTGGCAGAGAGCCCCCATATGACGACCGTGATTGGTGACCAAGGGTAAGCGCAGAGGGCCCATGGAAGACCATGCTCTCTGCGATCAGAGATAGTTCTGTCTTAATTACTGTCCTGGTCCTCGTGCTGCTCCAACTGCACCCCAAGAGTTGGGGCAGATGCCCAAAGGCCGGGACAAACAGCATGGAGGCCAAGTCATTGGAGACAGATCTGAGGGTGCATCTGAGAGGAAACTGCAAAGCTCCAAACACCAGAGCAGCTTAACGCTGACGGATGGTGATAGAAATCCAAACGACAGCAAAGGACTCGTATCATATAATTTTTTTTATCTGTAAACACAGAACTGCAAGCTAAACCTTTTTTTAGGCAGGGGTGATATTGACTTTCTTCTTATTAAGAAGAAAAAAAGAAAAAAAAATAGCAATATTTATAACATACCTCCAATGATGCCGATACATAAGTAAAGATAAACGATTGAACTCCCAAAAGAAGCGGACACCATAGAAACTCCACACATCAGTCCACCCGATATGACTATGGGCCGGCTTCCAAAGCGATTGACCAGCACACCGCTCACCGGTCCTGGAAAGCAGAAAAATTAGGTCATTCTTGGATTATGTTAAGGGTTAAACATTACAGTTGTAGTAATAAATCTCCTGTTTTCACAAATCGTCTTAACCCTGCAGTAGTACAAAAGTAGTACAAATCCAACGCATCAAATACTGGTACTGAGACATTTGATTGGGTTAATACAATATAGAGCACTAAATTCAAATTTAATGCCAGAAGAAAATGCAGGAATCATTTTATGGTCTGTAGTTCACAATATGATTCAAACTCTGAGTATTGTTTTTACTCTTTAAGAGGGCTGAAAACAGCAACACAGCCTGCCAGAATCCCCAGGCCCTCAGGCTGTAAAGCATTTGAAGAAAAAAAAAAGGCATGATTCTGCTGTCAAAATCACTTAATGGGCGCAGAAATACTTCTGAAGAGCAGCATCAGTGAACACTGTCCGTCACTACACAGCAAGTTCAAACACTACAACCAGAAAAAACACCCACAAAAACAAGATCAGGAAAGAAAAAAAAAGAAAAATCCCTGCTACTTTTCATTGTGTCACATCTCATTGAAGAAGAAGTGATGCACGGAGGAATACTGCCCTGGGAAAATGTGCAACTCTGTGGATTATCATGGCCATCAGACTGTATAGATCAGCCACACTGTAATCAAAGCACAGTTCACAAGCCAAAGTCTGAGCTGTAGTGGAGGTAGATCAGGGCCCAGAACGGCTGAAATGCTGCTTTTGGAGTAGAGTCACTCTAATTTAGATGAGATTACCTTTCACACAGGTGCACCGCAGACCTGGATTTTTCCAAAAGACGTTTTGTTGCAGACGTCCGCTACATTTGCTCCAACCCCTCGCTTCTGCGTTGGGCTGATTAGAGATGGCCCAAGTGAGGAAATAAAGAGCATGTCTCCAGAATCCCCTGCAGCCCCGACTGATCATCTGCACAGCCGCAGCCATAAAAAGGTTTTAGTGCTCCGGCCTGAAACAGCTGATGCAAGTTCACTGACCTAAACCAAGGGCAGAGGGTCCCAGCAGGTGACAGGAAACCCTCACTCTTCTGTGTCCGTCAGCCTGGCGACTCATTATGTCCCGGCCCTGATAATGTAAAACACTACACTCTGTGATCAATCAGAAGCTGAGCAGTCTTTTATATGCTGTCACCCTTTCCTTGATTCATAACCTTGCCTGAAAGAGTGACATTGCACCACGAGTCATTCTGCACCACCGACTCTTCTGCACTCGGACTGCCACAGTCACCAGTCGTTCTTTTCCTGACAAAAACAGTGGGGACGTTTGGTTACTGTGCACCACGACTGGCCAAAACCAAAAAAAAAAAAACCTAACGGCAACCGTGGAGGGCGACCATTTTAGGCTTCCCTTTCCAGGACCTGGACAGCTCGCAGTGGCCCAGTCCTCCATGAGCTCCTCTGTAGTGACCCCACATGTAAATGTGAGCAGGCTGAATAAAAATCTCTCTGGCCTGAGCAGTAACACGCTATCCTCTGTACCACCACTGGATCTGGTCTGCATGAGCAAAAGAAATATCCCTCCTGCTATTTATACAGTAAAACAGGTGCCGGCAGGGGTAAAAAAAAAAAAAAAAAATCATCTCTCTCACTGCAGCTGCATCACAATAGGGCATCTATCGTTCTACCACTATTTCCATTTCCATTATCATTTGGACTTCTTGAGTCAGAGGTTTTCTGAAAAGGCTGTCATGTCCCTCCCATGGGGACGCGGTGTCAAACCCCCGTGTGCTGAACCTTCCACTGATATATTCCAGCTGTCTCTCCTCCACTGGGTGACATTGCTGAAGCCCTGCCAAGGACAATATGATAAAGCCCTGTGCCTGAACCGGAGTGGAGAGGTATATTTCACCGGTTAGGCCACCCTGAGCTGAAAGCAGGTGACTAACAAACCTCTATATCCTGCAACCTTGAAATAAGCAACTGATGAGCTCATGCGAGGCGTCCAAGACTTACCTTTAGTCATATTTTGTGTCATCGGGAGATGACACAAATGCGTATGGTACAAAATGGGATGCGCACTTTAGAAAAGTCATTTTCTCAGGTGTTTTCTGTGGTTGTGAGAGCAGCTACGCGGTGCCGTCAGTTTAACCAAAACAACAAATAAATCCCAATACTACCACTGAACCATGGAACTTTTCTTTTATTTATATTGGCAGGTCTGTGTCAGAGTCAGTTGTTATGACGCTGATCTTCACCCTGTGTTTTGACTAAATACATTTTTTAGTTTTTCAAAATGGCTACAACCTTCTCTTTTGACATATCTTTAGGAGACTGTCAGATCATCGCCTGTTGCCAAATCTAATCAAGGTGGCCCTGTGTAATGAATAACAGTGCACATCTACCAGGTTCCCTGATTTGTTGAATCAGTCTGATCACTATCTCAGGTCAGATTGGGATACTCTGGTTCTGGAGAACAACATTCTGTCTCACAGAATATCTAAAGAAACAGAGTTTTTTTTAACTGTACGGCCCATTAGAATATACTGTATTCTCTAAAACCGCTTTTATGCTATTACATTTTCATGCTCAATCAAGGCATTTATTTCTGTGTCAGTATATAAGAACAACATGGTGGCTAAACTGAATCTAAGCACTTACTGAAAGGAAGTTGAAAACACTAATTTCTTCACTTTCCCTCCATATTTAATGTTTGCCTTAAACAGGCTTTTTTTTCTTGATAGGTGTCTTGGATTCACTTGATTCCACCAGACTGCAATTGATTATTGATCCTCAGCACTTTAAACTCCAGACTTTCTTAAAGATCAATAAAAACGGCCCAACAAATCTACCAGTAACACACTGTAAACTCAGACAACCGTGCTGACTGAACCTAGTCTGAGAAAGTAAAATGATACAAAATACCAGCTTTCAGGTCCAGAGTTTCTACACTCATTTTATGTCCTTCAAACTGTTATAACAGAAAGCACAAAGCAAAGAAGTAGCATCTGTGGGGGTAATTCCTTCTTCTTTGTACTGTACTTATTTTCACATATAAAAGCAATTACCAGAATGATGAAATTGAAAGTTCAGAGAGGGAATGAGATGTTGAACGCTTTCATGAAAGCACTTAAAATCTACGTCAAGTGAGCAATACATCATGGCAACATTCCTCCTATTAGGCAGCCTAACACGATTTCACTGGGCGCAGTCACTCATGTGAAGTCAATTTAGCTATTATCTATTTACCAAGATGAGCCTACGGTGCAACAAAACACCAGCTTTTTTTTTCTTAGTAGAGATTCAAATGGTGACTGATAGCCCAGGTTTACTTCTGGCAGTCAGAGATCTGTTAGGGATTCCTTCTGATGTCTGGTTTTGTGAGTGTGTGAAGTGGACTAGGCGTGCATATGCCAAAAGATCAAAAAGCAAACATTTCTATTGTATTCAAGGTTGGTTAATTGAAGTAAATGAGTAACTGGACCGTCCAGGGTCCAGGGCCCGTTGTCTATTGGGATGGGCTCCCACCTGGGAAAATTGATGGATGGATAGTAACTGTTCACAGACATGACAGAAGATGATCAACAATACTCAATGGGTGTTGCTAAGATAGGGGGAAGTTAATTTTCTCTCGAGACAATTGGATCGACTCACCTCCAGCATACATGACAGCGAGCATGATCGAGGAAATCCACGCTATCTCGCTGGAACTGGCCCCCAGGTCACTCTGAATCTCTTTGAAGAAAATCGAAAGGGCCTTGGGTGTGGAGTACGCAAACCCAATGGAGATATGGGCCCCAATCACCACCATCCAACCCCAGCCCCCGTCCAGGGGTTTGTAGTCCATCACATCTGGAGCAGACATGATCCTGTTCTGAGTGTGAAACATCAATGTCAGTGGATTATAAAAAAAACATTCGATAATACACTCTTATGGCTCACTTTAATCATGACAGCCCGTCTTTTGTTTATTCCTGGGATCATTATCATTAGTCCAAACCCAGACTTTGCCTGATGGAATATATCTAATAGTTTTCTGTTTCCAATTTGTCAGGATGATCAATAAAATATGTTATCCACTTATAAAACAGACAGTTACGGCCAATTTTCCTGATTAAAATGGGGGGAGAGGGGCACTACACGAAGTTATTCCGTTACTGGTTTATTCGAGTGTCTAAATCAAAAGGCGTTAATGCTCAGTGGAGAAGCAAACGTATAGTTGGACTAAATTAGTCTTAAAGTAAGGCAGGTTAATGGCGTAGCCACGGATCTCGGGGTCAAACGTAACTTCAAACTTAGCCTTCGAACAAACATGACAGTTTAGGTTCCATTTGCAAAGCTTCCAGTCCGGCAAGCAGCATCAGCGGTTGCGTCATCTTCGTGGGGTTCGAGCTCCACTCAAACTCTCTGAAAAAGCGTCCCCGCTACCGAAAGCCGAGCCTCGGCCCGTGGCGCCATACGGACTCAGCCAGGACGGATAGTGTAGAGGGAAACTTTTCAAACTGTGCTTCGCTTCCACGCGCGGAGTCGCGCGGCGGCTGGCACGTGGCGGCGGTTGGGGACAAAGTCACCGCAGTGGTGGGGGGGGGAGCCTTCGTGTGAAACACTGCCGAGTGTCGTACCGAAGTTAAGCTTACCTTTCACCGAGAGCCTTCGCTGCCCGTCCCGCCCGCTCAGAAGTGCGGTATCCCCGGTCTGTGCGGCCGGCCGGCTGGTCTGGCGCCTGGTCACATGTCCCTCAGAAGCCCGGGGCTGGTTTTCTCCCCCGGCGTCTCCATCAGCCCCGGATATCTCTCCTGTCTCTGAGCCTAAAGGTCGCTCTGCGCTGCCCCAGTCATCACTCTCACCCAAAGAAAAACACACACGTGAAGATAAACACACACAAAAGAAGTCTCAGAAATACACAAACTCCACTCTTAATTGTTTTATTTTTCAAATTATGTGCAATGTGAATTTCACAGTTGAGCTCGACAACCACTATAACCTGAAACCCAAAAACAAATCATAAAAGTAAAGGTGAACAAAAAAAACACAAAAAGGATGGCGACACAATGGATTAGCACCAATGAGCAATGCATGTCGGTGGCCTGAGGGAGCTCAGTATGACAGCAAAAGACCAACACAGGAAGCGGTTTGTTTTTAGCTTGTTGTGTGACAGACTGGTGTTTTAAACTGTGTAACAGTGCTGTTACTTTACCTGTAATGCTTAGGTGTGGTGAGATGGTTTAAAGAAATACTAACGTACTACTGGGAAGAAAAAAAATAAACAAAATCTAAATTATCACTCGTGCTGGTAATCATTTCTCCTCATCAGAGCAGGATTACGCTACCATAACTAAATAGATACATACATATAGAAAAAAGAAAAAAAAAAACAGCCACCGAAGACAACAAAAGGAAATCACATCTATTTTTTTTCAAGTTATAAAAGAAACTGAATACAAGTTTAGAAAACTGTGCAAGTACAGCAAACCTATAGTACAGTATATTACACATAACAAAAGAGAAACGAAATACAGTACTGTGTATCAGTAGAAATCCTGAGAGTTCTCTGTTCCTGGTTCTCAAATGGCCATCAGTAGCCACAGCTGTGGAGCTCAGACCCTCGATCAGCTTTGAGTTTGTTTTGTTTATCCTTTTTCTTTTGTTTTTTCCTTTTTTTTTTCAGTGGGGGGGAGGTATCACTCAAGCCGGGTTGATTAGAAATCAGCTTCAAGTCTTTCAGCGGTGGATCTTCTCTTGGAGAAGTAAAATATCCTCAAGTGCTTACCGAGTGTGACTCTAAGGGTAATTATATCCATAGAAACCTCTTAGATGATTGCTATATGGTTACGGAAACTTTTTTTTTTTATGAAATAGAGGGGCACTTCTTAGAAACATGTAGTGCAAAGATGACAGGAACCTGCATGAGCAAAGTGACAGCACTGACAGTGTCACCCTTGGGTGGGGAGGGCAGGTGGTATTCTTCTACGCAAGATTGTCAAAAAACAAAAAACGGAGCAAAAACAAACAAACAAAAAGCAGCACCAACAGTTTGTGTCCTCCATGTGATGGGGTGGGACAAAAAAAAAAAAAAAAAAGATTCATGGCTGTGAGATGAAATCGCACAAAATCCAGACCTCCCTCACCAATGGAACTCCTCCTGTCTGTGAGGGTGCTTCGTAAAGTTTGCAGTTAAGGACCTCTGGAGTGGGTAGTGATTCAGCCCGAAGCCGAGTAAGACGTCTCCTTTTCTAGCCACAGGCACAGTGGAATCGCACGCCATCTGCACTAAACTACACAACACTTCCAGCCTGCAAACACGCAACAGCCAACAACTGTCACTGCTTCTACCGTCATTTACGCTAACAGAAACGCACAAAAAGACACAAATGCATCTTTTCTAAAGTAATACAACATAAAATAGCCTAATCACAGTTTACTTGAATTATTGCCACCACGAAATTTGTTTCAATGTCCCAACTACAATAAAACCTCATTTGCTTGTTTGGCTTCTTTACTAACCTTGCCTTTTTTTTCTGCGCTAAACGGTTTTAGCCTCATTTTGAAAAACATCCTCAGAGCTCAATGTTGAACTGAGATTTTTACATCACCGCCTGAAACATTCCCTTTTCTCCTCATCAATTACATCTGACGTTTCTGAGGTAAACCTGTTAGTTGGTTTGAACTCGCCACTTAGTGTTAGCACAGATTTGACTCCGTCCTTTTTTCTCCAATGTGGAGAGTGAATATTCAAAGATCTCACTTAGACTCTCTTCGCACGTTATGTAAAATGGATGTCAACTCAAAGAGGTGTGAGCCCCATTCAACTGGAACCTAAATATCAAAGTTATCTAGCTCCGAAGCCAATCTTAGTGTATGGTTTGACACGCTGATAATTGTAAGGGGAGGAACATAAACATATCGTACATGCTTCCACCTTTTAAAACACTAAGATAATGCAAATTACAACCACACTTCATTTTAAAACTTGACTATAAAATAAACTGGAGAGACATGGACACTGAATACAAAAAAAACAAAGAAAAACCTCAGAGCTAACAACCTACTAATGAGAGATGGTACTCATCTTACCCGTATGAATATATAGTTTATATAGTATAGTTAATATATATAAAGATTCTCACTTTATGCTGACACATAGCATCCATATTTCTAGAGGGCACTTGTACGTTTTCAACACCCTCTTTGCATGCCTAACATCTGAAAAATCCATACCTACTCACGCATCTCAAACAAAAACAACATGGCTCAAAAACAAGCGAAAAATAGGATAATTGCACTTATGATTTCTTGTACGGTTTTGTTAAACACGCCTCAGTGTAGGGAATTGGTGCTGTCTGGAAAAGGAAAAAAAAAAATACTGCAATCTTTAAAAGCACCCCCATTTTGATCATGTTAAACCAAAGTTTAAACAACTTAAGACTTAATGTAAAAATGGTTCATGTGGTGCAAACCCAGGGTAACACCAGGCACAAGGCAGGCAGGACTACACCACTCCCTCTGCCTGTAAGATTGGATTCACAAAACTCGCCCGTCTCAAAGCACTTTCTGTAGACACTGTGGGTAAAGTTTGGCCACCACACACTCAAAATGGCGCCCCAAATCCCACAGGCGATCGGGTGTCTCGTAGACTTTGGTCCATACGTCTGCCTCGTCGTCGTACTGGTAAAGGGAGTTCTTGCGGCTGGTGCGGAACACGTGCTCCTCCACCATGACCTGTGTGGCGCGTACAAACAGGTGCAGCTTGCCTTGCAGCAGCATAGCCTTGATGTAAGGGCTTGTGGCTTGGTCAAAGGGCAGATCTCTCTTCCGGCTCCACGTGTTCTTCTCGATGTCGTAGAGCTCCACGGTGAAGGTGCGCTGGTGGTTCCTGCAGATGCCAGCAATGTAGTAGATGCAGTTCTTGTACAAGGCAGCCAGACCCTGACTCCGAGGGACGCTCATTGGAGCTAGATGACTCCAGTAGTCCTTACGGGGATCGTAGCAGAAGAAGTGTTCCCCTGCAAAACCAAACAAAAAATCTGTTCAATCACAAGTAATGCGCAGTGTGATTTCATGCGCTTTCTTAGACAGCATTAACTCACCTTGGAGGACAAAGATACGGTCTTTATATTCCACGGCACTGTGAAACTCCATGGCCACTGGCATAGGACTCACTGCTGTCCAACAGTTGTCCCGGGCATCGTAGCATTCTACCGATTTCAATGCGTTTCGGCCGTCCCCTTCATAAACTCGGCCTCCCAGCGCATACAGCTTCCCGCAGCAGTGTACTAGCCTACAGCCTATTCTCGCCCTCAGCAGAGGGGCCCGCGGAATCCATCGATTACCTGCATGCTCATACTGCCAGAAGTCACTTTCTGCTCGATGGTCTATTGACACCTCGCTGTTGCTTGGCCGGTACCCACCAGCAATGTAGATGTCGTTCTCTGATGACACCAAGATGCCGACCTCTCTGAGATCATTAGGTGGTTTGCAGAGTTTAAACACCCTTCCTGTGGCTGTGTCCAGACAAGGCACCGTCTGCTTCTTACCTGAGTGTTTATGAGCAGCGTCAAAGCAGATGACCATCTCAGAAGCAGTCATACCCAGGCGCTGTGGGCAACCGTTTGTGCCCGTGAGGCGAGCTTTTGCCTCAGCAGGGTCATTAGACAGGGTCAGGGCACAAGCAAAGGGGGCAGGTATCAGACTAAGAAAGGCCTCATCCAGCAGGGGCAGACGGATGCACTGGGAAAAAACCTCATCGAGGTGGGCTTCTCGGCCGGGTCGATCATGCTCAAGCCAGCGGACAATGCTCTCATAGACATGTTCCTCCTTCTCCACATTTAGGTCATCGCTGTTCAAAATGCTAACCAGCTGCTCCTTGGTCATCTGGAGAAATTCTTGCTCCCATGATACACACAAGAACTGCCAGAAAAACAGAATGTTTCCAGTTTGCAGCAGAAAAAAAACACACTACTAAGAAAAGCAAAATAGGATCAAAATAAAATGATGTCTTAAATTATGAGATAAAACGGCAGAAGTTATGGTTTTAAACCCACTACCGTGCCCATGTTCAACTAACCTTTTTGCGGATGTAATCCTGTGAGCGTTCCCTTAGTTCCTGATGTCCATATGCATCAGCAAACATAAAGACCCCAATGCAGTTCTGGGGGTCAAGCCGGCTGATCATAAACTGGGCACACTGATCCTGCAGAGCAGGAATTTGGAAAATGCTGGCTGCAGTGAACAGGGCCTGGACGTTGGACTCGGAGAGTGTGACTCTGGATGTATAGGCATAGTCTAAGACGAGGTGCATTGATTCCGATTCAACCCCAACAATCCTGACCTCACGCTGGCTGCTCTCCGTAAGGCCACTGGTGAACATGGACCTAATGGAGAGGGTGACAAAACATGAACACTTAAACAGACCCCTGCTCAAGTTATCCTGCCGATAACTTCTAAGCATTCGTAAACAGACTGATTCACATCCAGTTCTCTTACCTAAAATATGGGCTGATTGCTGCAAGAACATTTCGGTGGCACGAGAAAGTCTTGCCATGGTCCACTTCTACAACGATGTCTGTGAGCTGTGCTTCATCATACAAGGCTTTCAGCTGCTGAAGGATGTTACAGGCATGCACAGCATCTACCCCGTTGTAGCTGGTGGTTGGAGGCGTCCCATTTTGTACTTGTAACAGCTTTCCTACCTCTGAATGAATCAATGCAAATAAAGGGGATATCATTGTTTTACCTTTGAATGCAGCATTGACAAAACAAATTCAACCTGATAACAATGATTAAAAAAAGAGTTAAGAACGTGTCTGACACCAAAACTGGGAGAGGGAGGGGATATCTGGCACAAAAAATTAAGAATCAACTATAAATTGACTAATATATGATTAACATGATCCCTCGGAGAAAGTAAAGCAAACGAGTACTATTTCTCCCTTTTATTCCCTTGCTGGCTACTAATGTTAATCTATCATTCTGGTAGACACTTTGTAGTTGGTGGTTACTAATCATAAAAACCAGTCATGTTTGAGGTAAACAAGCTTTCACCATTATGGAATAAACTATATTCTGTCATTAGTGGTAATGGTTAGATCTTGCCTCAGCACGAAACTTATGGGGCTTTTCCACAGGTACCTACTTAGTGTGGAAGGATTCAACACTACTTGGTTTCCTGCATTTACATTATGGGCTGTGCCTCCTAACAGTTTTAGAATCTACTGTGCCGGGGTTCCAAGTGGGCCGAGTTGGGCCGACAGCAGACTATCAGGCAGTGACTGGCCAGAGAATCACACAACTTCATAAGTGTCTCCTTCAGGAAAACTTCGCCACCTATTTAAAAAAAGGCAGCAACAGCACATGCCCTATTTCAGTGGTATATGTCGAATACACAAACACCACAGTCAAACACCGAGGTCCAGTACATAGTTGCTGTCATGTCCTTAATCGTTATCATCGGACCTCATTTGAAATTGAAAAAACACCTAAACTGAGCCCAGGTGAGGCAAGTAGAGCTGAGTCGATACGAATGGAAAACCCTCCTTAGATCATGCTTGAAAAGTTCAGTTTAGGCAACTGAACGTGACATTGAACTTTTCAAGCATGACCATGACTTGGACGACTGAGAATCTTCACAGATATCTCCTAAGATCAAGGGCTTGTGAGATATGTGCAAATTTACTATTTAGAGAGTTACAATAGTTTTACAAGTCACTTGATTTAAAATTGGCCAGATTGTGATGTGTCTACACTTACACCCAAGAATAATCCATCCTGCCACACTTGACATGTTAATGCTCACAGATCAGACAATAAAAGAGTCTGAATAAATATGCGACTCAAACATCTACAGAGAAATAATGTGTGATCCTTTTTTTTTTAACCGAGTAGAAATAAGCACATGCTTAGATGACTGTTCATTAGCATACGTGACCCAGTGAAGTTATTGCCTACTGTAATTTGAAAAACAGTGATTAACTAGCAGTAATTTAAGTAGCGTCCATTATCACCATTAGTGCAAACATTGTGGGCAGTTTGTTAGTTTTGGATTTTGTTTGGTTCAACATTTATATGATTGTGCTGAAAATAAATAACAAAACTGAATTCAAAGCATCATCAAAACTCTGACAACAGGTTGGTGTAAAAGTAAATATTACCCCATCAGAGACCTTATAGATAGATATCGAAAACATTGTGATTTTTTATAGATCTTAAGATTTTATATAAAATAGATGTCTTTGTCTTTTCAACTTTGGATCGTGTCACCCAGCGGATTCAGTAGTGCTCCCCCATAGTAGTAAATACTAAGTAAACATGTTTTGTTATCGCATGTATAACGGCGACTTGTACGAATGGCATGAAAACTTTTTGACGCCTATCATTACTGGCAGTAGCTCCACTATCTCAACGTCAACAGAGGAAAGACTTTCCAAGTAATACCTCGTGTTGAGTAACGCCAACTCCTTGACAGGACAAAGAATAGCTTCGGATGAATAGAAACTACTGTCTCGCCAGGTGGTAGCTAGCTTGCTAACATCTTGAACCATTGAGCGATTCTTGCTTCAACAACATGTCTTTCGGATAAAGACCTAAATAAATGTAAGGAATACAAGCCAATTTCAAATTCAGATAAGTGGTTTGTCGCCTGAGCGATTGTTTTTTATCATAAACATGGCAATACTCCCTCCTGGGTTTGCTAGTAAACGCACAAGCTTAACTTTTAGCTGATAGCTAGGCACCAAGCTAATGTTAGCAAGCGTTATTTGACACATAATTGCGAGATATTAAGAACAAGAATGTATTTTAAGACGACATACACTTTCTAATAGAAGTTTTAAAGTGCCTAAAGCAATATGTGCTACGTTAACTTGAGAAAAAGACCTCCACTAACACTTGTCTAAGGCTTCCCTCTTGTTGCAAACAAGTGTTTACACAATCAGCTGTGGGTAGCAAAGCTAACCTGCCGAAAGTTAGCCTGACAGCTATCGTTAGCAACATAGCAAGGCTACGACAACCAACAGTTTGGAGTAGTCATTCAGAGCGTGACTTCTGTTAACGAAAATGGAACATGTAACGACTTTCGGTTAATCTGCATGGCTACACTCCGTGAACAGTTCAAAGCATAAAATCAAACTTTAAAAGACATTAAATCAGTGTGTTTAGGACACAAAACAATGAAGACTTCGCTAACCTCCACTGGCAGCCATTCTCTCCAGTCTGTCTCGGGGCAGACCGAGAGACGTCAGAGTGCAGATTGGAGCTCCGGAAACAAGGAACAGCCAATCACAATAGAACCACGACTCGCACAGCCAATCGCATTGGGTTTATTTGGACCAAACAAGGGGCAAAGTTAATACAGTGATGGTAAATTCTTCACAGTGACAGTGAAACAGATTAGACTCAACTAAAGTTTGAAATATATAGCAGGTGGATACAGAATAACTTGTAGCATACTTGATATTTTCTGATTAAAGCGGTGCTTAAACGTCTAGGACTTCTTTCAGCTCTAGTTGAATTGTTCTTTAATATTTCCCTCACATGAATAAACGTAAACCAAATCCCACATCGAATAGGGTGCTTTTGACAGTTGGTGAGGTCAGTATTTCAATTTGGTCTTCTGAACTGAAAATACAATCTCTCCACTTTTGATGAAATGTTTTTAATTAACTGACTTCCGTCACAACGGAAAAAAGACAAATAGCTTAAAAATAAAATCCAGCGTGAAGTTGTTAGGATAATTTAATATATTTTGTAAGAGTAGAACTTAATTGGAGAATTCTGCTACCACTATGTACATGCACACACACACACACACACACACACACACACACACACACACACACACACACACACACACACATATATGTATATATATATACATATAAAGTTCATCTTGATAAACTAGAAACACAATAACCAAGTGGCACCAAGTAATTAAGTCAGCAGTAAGTTGTTATCAGTGTCAATCTACTTTCACATTCAAGAGACAAGTGTTATAAGTGTGTCGACAAGTGTTAAAGCAAACTTTGTCAATGTTTAATAATTTTTCATTAGTCTCTTTTAACTTTCAGTTTATTCTCTGTAGCATGCTACGATCAGCGTTCAGTCTAACCCGGTTTAATGAAGTATATTTCTCGTACAATTGAAATTCAGAGCTGTGTTATAAAGAGAAGTGTTAAATGTGTCATTCCACAAAAGTGAAGACTTAAATGTGCTTTGGTTTATTTTAGTCAGCTTGTGTACTTGTATCTATTTAATTTTGTTTTAATTGTACAACCCTGGTAAGTGAATGCAGGAATAGTTTAATTTTAATAAATGCGAAATTCAACATTAAACATATAACAACATATTAAACCTTTATAAAAGTGAAAAAATAGCTCAGCTTTAAAGTGAACTTTGGTTAACATCCCAAAAGGTATTTTGGAAACCAATGCCTGCAGGTCATGGCAACCTTTTTTTCTGAGTTTTTCTCAGTAATTCATTTAGTAAGGATTTGCTCTCTAAATGGAAATTCAAGATCGCTTGAATAGAAAGATTGTAAGAGGTCACAAAGCTCTTCTGAAATTCTTCCAAACAAAAAAAACTCTTTATCCATCAGACTGCCCTGTGTTGTATAACACGCTGGGCTTTATGCCTGATCAACATTTCAAGTATTTAAATCAGGTAAATTAAATTTGATGATGACAGGGGGAAAACTGTGCTGTGCAACAATCAACCTCACAATATGATTTAGATCTCCATTTATTCATAATGTAATTCAATATCAAGTCATTCTATTCTGCAATGTATGCCCACCTGTCAAGAGTGTGTGGCATTACTGAGTGATTGATGACTAATGATTTAGTTTTAATATAAACAAGCAAATGTATAAATTCTTCCCCTCTACTGAGACAAAGTAATATTAGATACAAATAGATTGTAGGAGAAACGAGCGTTTTCATCAAGAAACAAAGTCAAAGTGGGACACTTCATTTCAAAATGTGTAATATTATTATTTTGATTGCACATTTGTGGTTGTGCACACTACAGCAATGGCCAAGGGCTATTGGCTGCGGTGGTAGTTTATAACTGCAGTTCTAGTTGGGACTTTACTGCAGTGGATCGTTTAATATTCGTGTGGCAGCACCTGCAACCTCATGCTGTCAAGAGAAATAGACTAATTGCTGTTTATTGAACACTTTGATTGCAATGTAATCCCCATGTACTAACGCACTGTCATTTAATCGCTTTTTCTCGTAATTAGAATTCATTCATTAATGGGTTTGTTGGGGAATTGCACAAGCCTGTCTGATAATGTTATTGTTTAAATGCAACATCAATTGCATCCGTTGAATGGCCAGTGTATTAGCTTCCTGCCATAGTAAATGACACTTTCAACTCTTAGGGCTTTGAGTTTGAGCAATTACAAACAAAACTTAAGCTCTTGTAAGTCTCACACTTCTTGCTCAGCACTTTGCCTTCAACTGATACTTCTGATTCACTTAACTTTCACCTTTTTTATTCTATTTCCATAAATAAGGTTTCCGTTTTAACCCATTTTAAACTTGTTTTGGCATTATACTGTACTTTTGTGTTTTGGCTTAAGTTTGTTCAAACAAAATTCAAACAAATCTTGTCACATGTAGTCAAAACCAGCCTACATTAGGGTTTACCTTTTTCCCCTTGATTGTTTCTACTAGTATTTTTCCACATTATGCTCAAAAATCCTTCAAAA